CCCTCTCAACAAGGTCTCCTTTTAGAGAGCCAGAAGTAGGGTTCAGAAGGGTCCCCTTTAAGGGGTCTCCCTAGTACTACCTAGGATATGATGCTTGGCATGGGTACTTGGATTGCGGCTTGTCAGTCCCGTGCCTACATACATCAGGGCATTGCCAATCCAACTCAAGTACCCCACTTACAACCACCTCTACACTCCAAACCTTCGCGATTACCTTAGATTCCAAGCGTAATGAAAACAAGAAACATTAGCAAACCCACGGCGAACGCTGTCAAGTTCTACCTGGACCGAAACAAGCCCGGGATCGGTCGGCCACACGGCCACATGTCCAATGTTGGCATGTCTGTAACTCTAACCGTTGGAAAACAGAAACTGTGTGGTTGTGATTTTACTACGTGTCTGTGTGCTGTTGTTGCACATCGTTGTGTGTACTGGAAGTTGCCCCTGTATGTTGTCGCAATACATGAAGGACATGCAAGCAGCCAACATAAACTCCAAGGGGAAGCTCAATACTCTTAGCGCCCAGCCCGCTCCTACTAACATGCCAGACGTTTAGTCTATCTTCGTGGCATGAGAGCAAATATTCAGAGACTGTACTGTATAGAGAGGTCTTGCAAATAGAAAGCAAGAGAAACACCTGGGACAGCTGCAGTGGGCCAAATGATGCACAGGGCAGCTGACTTGCACTTGTGAGGCTTTTTCAGAGGTTTAACCTCCGTGCCCCTGTCCAAAGCGGAAGGGGGCCAACACGAGCATACTTAAACGAAATGGCCTCACTATCGTGTTCACCTCCCTTCCTGCGTTTGTATCCCGTTATTAACAAAGGCTCGGATCAAGCCTCTGTCAATCAAATGGGCTCGCTTTCCTGTTCCCCTGCCGTGAACTTTCGAACCGGAGCAGGAAGGGAGGGAATACCATTCTACATGCACGTTATAAAAACCATTTTGCACAGCTGGGGGGCCTGGAGCTTGCACGTGGATGACGCTGGCAGGGAGGGAGGGGAACGCAAAACGAGTGTCTTGCAGGCATGCATACATACATACGTACATAC